AGGCCAGGCTCCCACTTGCAGTTCTGGGGAGAGTATAGGTCAGTCTATAGCAGGGATCTGTGTCAGAAGTGAGGGCCCCTGACCTACGGTCACCATCACCAGTCACAGAGTCTACTTTTCTCAAACAAGTTCTTTTTCCACAGCTACAAATCTCCAAGTTCTGGTTGTTCCTGCACTATGCAACCAAAGTTTATCACGTGACTACTAAGATGTAGAAATCATAGGTATAAATGGTATAATCCTTCTCTAGTTTGCCCATATTCTCATCCCATTTCATCTCCCTGTTCCTTCTCTTTCTCTTTAGTATATGCATATGTGTCTCCTAAAAAGATATTTCCAACTAAAAATAAAAAAGAACTTTTGAACAATTTCCCCTGCCAGGGTCTTATGACCTCAGTACTCCTGGAATCCAGTTCCGACTTAATCTCATGAACACAGTAGAGATAGAGCTTCATGGCCAAACTTCTCTTCAATTGTTGCCTTCTGAGAGTAGTTTTGAACACATGTGTATCTATATATGTGGACAAATGGCTCCACCTGTATATCTATATGTTTCTCTTGTATGTGTGTGTGTGTGTGTGTGTGTGTGTGTGTGTGTGTGTGTGTGTGCACGTGCGTGCGCCCATGTGGGGGGTTATAATGCCATGTGTGTAGAAGCCTGAGGTTAACATTGGATGTTTGCTCAACCACTCTCCACCTTTGGGGTCCAGGTAGGGTCTTCACTGCACCCAGAACTCACTGTTGAACTGGTTTGCCTCACCAGCTTGCCGATTTCCTGATCCCTCCTACAGGGTTTTATGACAGGAAGAGCTCCATGACCACCCAGCTTTTAGAAGGGTATAGGAGATTCGAACTTCTTTTTGCTTATGTGGCAAGTGCTCTGCCTGCTGAACTAGCTCTTCTGTCCTTACCCAGCTGCTTTGTGAGACGCAACAGTGACCAGCTGGGCAATGTGTGCCTATTTGTACAACAGAGGCACGAGTTATGGGAGTGACCAACAGCTTTCTAATTGGATGTTTTAAGGCTCACTCCACAAGAAGAAACTCAGGCCTGGTACTATAATTCTTTCCCAGAACACATGGCTGAGGAGGTCATAGGCTCTGGGGAGAATCCACTACTATTGTTTTGCTAAGTATCAAGCCACCTTTTAATACCTATTCTTACAAACACAGATTATCCTTGCAGCTTTCACCCCCAAACCTAACAGAGCAGTTTCTTTGTGCTGCTATTAGGAAGAGCCCCAACTGGTAAAGTACAGGAAATAATTGACTATGGAGTATTCATCCTTAGATGAGACGTCTATATCACAACGTTCCCCCACGCTCAGACAGTACTAAACAAGGTGGGGTGGAAAGATAGTAAAACCAGAGGAAGAGTGCTGGAAAATACTGTCTTCTGGCCTTGGCTCTCAAAACTGAGAGCCACTGTGACTGCGCGCACAAGACCTGTACAAGACCAAGCAAGTCGACATTCTGGCCTGGGTGAGAACGGGACTCAGGAGGCCCCACTTGAAAGGTATTGATAACTGACGGTTGCTGGAGATGGGAAAAATCTCTTTTGTTGAGTATGGCTCATGGTAGCGTGGTGGTGACCTTTATGTTTAGAGGATAAATTTCCTGTGCTCAGTTTGTAAACAGAAAATCGTTTTTAGCTTGTATAAGCCATAAGGAAGTTGCTTTTACCTTGAATGTACCATCAGCTGGCCCAAGATGGGTCACTTCCTGTTGTAGTTGGGCTATTCTTAAAAAATTGCTGATTATTGTGAAATATCTCACTGCCTCAGCTGTTCCTACAAGGTAATGGGTCACATGATGAGACAGACTGACTGCTACGTTCTGGTTTTGTTTGAAACCCTTGTTTACTGGAATGACTGAGGTGCCTGCTGGACTTGCCTGCACCAGGCAGGATCTGAGTTAATTTGGCTCCCCAAAATTATAACTTTGTGGGTTTTGCCTTTATAATTCTTATACTCCTTAGTTGGGGCCTTACCTAGAGAACTCTCTTTGGTTTGGTCTTAACCAGTATCTTTTTACAATAAAAAAAAAAAACACACACACACACAAAAAAAACTTGAGTCAGGCTGTGATAGACCCACAGTAGGATGCCCAACTTCTAGTAGAGGAACATCCTTGTGCATACTGGCAACCCTAACTAGACTCAGTGATTTATGCGAAGGTTTATAGAAGAGAGGGGGAATCGATTTGATAAAAGAGAGAGAGGGAGACAGAGAGAAAAGGAAAGGAAAGGAAAGGAAAGGAAAGGAAAGGAAAGGAAAGGAAAGGAAAGGAAAGGAAAGGAAAGGAAA